GCTCACTGATATTTCTGGAAAACAACAGCTGATCCTGCTAGACTGTGTTTTGCCTCTGTATTAAGATGTATCTGCTTTTGGAGCATCCAGCCAAAACCAGGCACAGCAAGGAGACAGCAATCTGGGGTAGGGGGAGGTGGGCAGGGAAGAATTATTCTGTCTTAAGGCAACTGAAAGTCTGACAACTGGTGAAAAAGTTTTAGAAGGGGAGAAAAGTATCTGATACATATTCTGCCTCAGATCAGGCTCATTGTTTTCTGTGATCTCAGTATTTGATGTTTTTTACAAATATACTTTAATATATTCATTGTGCATCACTCCATATCCCCTCTTCTCTCTGGCTTTGCATAACTCTGCAGCCTTGGGCATGTCAGAAGGATCCAGGGCATGAAGCAGCTGCGACATGCATGGAAGAGCTATGTGATGGTCCTCCTGTTTACCCATCATTTACTCACAGAACAGCCTGTAGTGGGAACAGCTAATTAAGTTGAAAGGAAAAGTTTTGCTTTCTTGATTTTTCTCTACTATATCCTGGGGTAAAGTTGGCCCTTTGATCTGTGTAATGCTCATGGTAGGCATGCTGTACATAAAGCAGAAAAAGAATCCTGTGTCTTAATGGCCCTGGACTTGTGCAAAGGAAAGAGAGGTATGCAGAGGCACAGCCAGAAAGTTCCAGCCCAAGATCCGGATCTAGACTGAATTTTTCACATGCTGTGTACCTAATTCCCTTTGACTCCTTAAAAAAATCCTAGCCCTGCATCATTTCAATGCCCTGTCCCTTTACAAATGGCATGGCTCAGACCTCAGCTTGAAATAATTTAAAGCAGCAGCCCAGGTCAGGGCATCTGGAACTGCTTTTCATTTCCTTTCTGTGCTCCCCTTGATGAGGGACACTGCTGTGTTAATGGGGTTTTGTTCTTTTCTTTCAGGCTTCTCTTTCCCCACTTGATGTCACGATTAGTGACATCAAAGCCACCTCTCAGTGAACCTTGGTGATGACATGACTAGAGGAGGACCCTTAGAGGCAGGAGATTAAGCAGCAAGTTAGCACTACTGGAAGAACAAAGCTCTCATTTTCATTCATATATACACAATCAAAAATGAGTGAAGAGAAGGAGAGATGGGAATTAGGTGGTGCATTAGTAAAATTATCATTCAAAGGTTCTTTGCTCGAAGTTTTGCAAGAGGAATCAGTGGTTCTTTAATCTCCCACCTTGGGTATTGTTGATGCCATGTTATATTCTGGGCATGTTGAAATGTAACACAGTGTAAGGAGACGTGATTTGTTGGATAAGGTTTATGTAGCATGAAAAGGCTCCTCTACTTTCCCTTTTTATTATTTACATTCCCAGAGAAGGTTATGTGTCATGTGGGCTTTGCAGAGATAAATGGCTAACCTGAGCTTTCGGGAGCTTCCTCAGAACATGGAAAGGAGCTGCCTAAGTGTTGGCCTGAGGATTCTGAAGACTTCAGCTCAGTTCTGGTCCTAGGAGGAGGTATATAAGAGAACCTGAGGTTGTGAGTCCTTAACACAGGTTTAGCAGGGCATGGGAAATTGTACCATGGAGATCTGAAAGAGCAGAGAGAGAAGGGCAGCAGGGCACCAGTAAGTTGTACTGGGTAGTACTGAGTTGTTATGGGGGTGCTGGAAGTCAGGAATGAAGGGAAGCAGCTGAACTGAGTGCAAAGATCTCCACTGGGGCTGCCAGCTGAGTGTGGAGCATGGCTGGCCACTGCTCTGTCTACTCCTTTCAGAGCTCTGTTAATAGCACTTAGCACAGTAATTCCAAAGTAACTGGATATGCTGTAAACCATAGGTTTGAGCCACTCCTGCTGTTTTCCAGGTGTTTCAAGAGCAGCAAGTTTTATGGCCATGTCATCAGCTCTTTGCTCTATTTGCCGCTTCATTAGTTTTCGTGCTGGGAGCGCTCTGGGGGAGCAGCATTTGGAGGTGGGGTTTGGCTGTGATGCCTCCTGTGAAGGGAACAGACAGTTAACAAGCTCTGTGGTTTCCTTGCTTGTACAAACCTCCCTTACGACTCTCCTGTGGGTGGGATGTCAGAGCTGAGGATGTGCTTGGCAGGAGGGGATCTTTCAAAGGAAACTTCCACTGGAATAGAGAGATTTCCTTGGCTGGACCTGCAGGCAATGGGGCCCTCCTGTTGTCACCCACAGGAGAACAGTGTAGGTGATCTCTGGTCTCTTTCCCTTCCCTCATTCTTTCTGGGGTTTAAGATCTGGAGACTCCAGGAGCTTTTCCAACACTGAGTCTGAGTAAGACAAGCTTGTCTTTGATGAGCCTTGAGGGAAACAGCAGAAGCCAGATCTCTGCCAGCCCCATGCTATTGCAATTAGCAGAATTATGGCAAATTGTCCTGGGTTTCTGACATGAGAAAGCTGTTGCTTAGAGGTTTTTTTATTTTTCTTATTTTGACTGAGGAATGAACCTCTCAATTAAGATGCTGCACTCTGTATCAATATCCAGAAGGGGTAAGAGTTGTTAAAGCTGTATTCATCAATTGCAAAAGAGAGCACATTTTATTTTGCTCTGTGCTATTTACAGCTGTTGTCCATTAGAAGTCCTCAGGAGCCTCATTCCCAGCTATAACTGCACAGCCCCATAAGTTTAGCTCAGCAATGAGCCTGCAAAACAGCACTAAATCATGGTGATGGGAGAAAGGAGAAAATGTTTGGAAATGGCAAAATGCAGCTGATGTCTTTGTGAAATCTGGCTTTTGTTTGTTGCTGTTATAAGGCATTACTAAGGTAGATGGTAATGCACAATTAGCTGGAGAAGAATAGAACTAGTGTCTTCTAATTTGGGGGGAAAAAAATCAGAACAACTGGTTCGCAGGAGCTAAAGGAGTCTTTGGCAATCCATAAGTACCTAAGTACATGTTGATGAAAATGTACCAACCCCCCAGTATGGTGAGGTGTAAGAATGACAAAAGCCTAATATGTGGCTATTGAGGAACTGAATCCCAGTTGCTTTACTGGACCAGAACGTGATTGCTCTGTATGAGCTCTTTGAGCTGGGAGTGCAGCTCACTCCTCTTGTGCCCACCAACTGCTTAAGAGGGAAGTGTGGATGTGGGATTATTTCCAAATCTGAGTGTATCCCTGTATGATATAACTAAATTGTGCTGTACGGTATATACTGAGCAGAACTGTGCAGAATATACAGGTAAGGAGAGAAATTAATGCTTATTCCTTGTTTGAACGTGAAATGAGAATTTTCACCTATATTCCCAGCTCTGACACTTGGTCACACAAACAACTAAACATCCTTTCAGGTAAGGAGAGAAATTAATGCTTATTCCTTGTTTGAACGTGAAATGAGACATTTCACCTGTATTCCCAGCTCTGACACAGCCTTTTCTTGGTCAGACAAACAGCTAAACCTCCTTAATTACCATCTGTATTTTTGGGGGTGATGTTCTACCTCCCTGTTTTACTTTGATGGATTAATGATTTGTAACACATTTGGAAACAGAAGGATGGCTTTGGGAGCTAAAGACAAAGGCGTGTAAAATGCTAATTCAGCATTTGTTTACAAGGGCACTCAGCTGATGCCTTTGGTTTTGCATTCTGTCCTGTTGCCTCTCCCAGGCCTGTCAGCTGGGCCTTTCAGCCCATGAAGGGAACAGAGCGTGAGCTCTGATGTGTCCTGATGGAGCAGGACAAACCTGCCCTGGCGTGGCTGTGATGCCCTGAGAGATAAAGCTTTCCACTGAATAAATCTGTCAGCTCGACTTGTGATAGTGAATGCCCACAAAAGGATCATTTTAAGACAGATAATTGCTTTCCTCTTTCCTTTTATTTTCTGTGCCTGGCAGGTGTCTCCTTCTGCCTTCTCCTGTTTCCTTGGCCCATCCCTGAAGTGTGCTCAGCACAGATGGGATCTTCAAAGAATCTGCTGTCAAACTTGGTCTTTTCTAGGCATATGTATGCTGAGAGTTTTTGGAGGCTTGTACCCAGACCAAATGTGTTTAGTGGCTTTTTCACAGGAACAGCAAATAACATATCTGATAACAAGAAAACTTTTGCTGTTAAGTTGCAAGTCTGTTTTGAAATAGGTTCAGTAGAGATTATCAATGAACTGTTCAATAAAAATTTTATTTACTCTTTGGGTTTTTTTAAAAAGGCAACCCCCCCAATCCTCTCCCCTACTCAAATTGCCACAGCTTATGTTTCCCATGCGTGGAAGTAGTGCTACAAACAGATGAACTCTTCTAGTTGCAGCTTCTGAAAATCAGCCTTTCTAATCTGAGTGAGCATCTATATTATTTAAAGCTGAAGAAGTCTTTCCACCAAAAGCAACAGCTTGCCTTAGCTATATGCATTGTTATTTCTAGCTTTTGTTGTATTGTTATGAAGTAATGGTTAGGTTTGTGGACTCAACCTCTGCGGCTATGGTGAACATATTAGTGCATTTTCTTTAATTATATCAGTTTAGTTCAATTAATTATGATTTTGACCTTACAGCACAAATTATTTCCAGAGATCAGGTAGCTTGCATGTCCTTGGAGCCCCTTATGGGTGGGCAAATCTGCTTAGATATTTAGAAAGTTCTGAATAGTTAATGGTGAAATACTGAAAGTGGAGCAGGACCTTAGACAATTAAATAACTTCTTGCTGCCTTTTAAACCTTAATGAAATTTGATTGGATCAAACTTTTAATAATTGCTAGAAAGTATGGTAAAGCTGTTTGGAGGCAGTAACCTGCACCTGCAGAATGCTTTCTAATGGTAGATGAAAATACCTAGAAGTTATCACAAAATAAAGACAGAAATTAGCTCTGTGCTGGTTCTGAGGACCAAATCTGTGATCAGTTTGTAAATAGCACCTTGAGAAAATATCTGGAAAGTCTAGGGATGCATTTTTCCTTAGAATGCATTTTGGATTGTTTTCTAAATTCAAGGGGAATAAAATCCACTTGCAAAGACCTTGTTCAAAGGAAAGCCCTGTTTAGTTTGGGGGTGTTTTTCTTTGCTTTGCAGGCAGCCGTCCTTACGTGTTCCTCACAGCCCGTGTTCACCCTGGGGAGAGCAATGCCAGCTGGGTGATGAAGGGCACCCTGGAGTTCCTGGTGAGCTGCGATCCCATTGCTGAGCTCCTGAGGAAATGTTTCATCTTCAAGATTGTGCCCATGCTTAATCCTGATGGAGTCATCAATGGCAAGTGAGTTGTGACGTGTGCTTATCCTGGGGTTTGTCTGTGCACCCAGCAGTTCCCATCTTCAGTGTTTGTGCTGGGAGAATTCCCTTTGCCCTGTGTTTTTATTCATCCTGTTATCAGTCCTGTATGGAAAATGTGAATCTAAGGCGTGGCCTGGTGTGCTGTCCTGCATTTGTCAGGTGCATGTGGTTCTGCACTGTCTGCGGTCAGAAGATCTCTCAGTTACCTGGAAGGAGTGTTAGTGGTGCTGGAGAAACAGGATCTTTACTGACAAATGGAGGTTTATCCATTCTGTTAAAGCAGCAGGGCAGAATACAGCTGCAAAGCAGATATGCTTGGGAAAAACTAGCTGTAATTAATGCTTTGTATAACCTGGTGGGGGAGGATGAATAAGGATTTCTTAAAATTTCACAGAAATATTTCTGTATAGTGAACCTTCCTCCTTCTCCCACCTTCTTTTCAATCTTCCTTCCCACATGTTTCCTAAGAGATGCTGAATCTGATCTTGGAAAAATATTGATTCCTTTTTGCATTCTTTACCTTATACCCTCCCTATCCACCCACACTAACTTCCCTCTCCCTGTACATGACTGGAAAAGGCACAACTTTGCTCCTAATATTTTGAGCTGAAATAAATATTGCTGTGTGAAACCTTGAAGAGGGCCCTAAGCTAAGGTAGGCTTGCTCTTTGCTGGAAAACAAATCTCCTCCTCTCTCCAGAAGGTGGAATTTGTTCACTTTGGGTGTTTGAGAGTGGCAGTGTGTTAATGACTGTTGGTCCTGCCCAGTGCAAGGGCAGGACGTCATGATCACATCACACCAGTGGCTGCTGTCTTGACCTGGTGATGGGGTCTTGGAGGGTTTGCAACAACTGTGACCCCTGGCTTATTGCAGAGGAGCACGTGACAAATGTCAAAGCTGAAAAATGGGCTTAAATAAGCACCGGAACACAGCAAAGTGTAGAAGAACAACTTTTCTTAAGGTACAGTCCCACACCTGCTTTGGGGTTGGGCTGTGATATCGAGTGTTACGGGAGCAGAAAAGCAAATCCTGAGCAATAATTGCATTGAGCTGGGTTTCAAACTCACTTGAGTTTGGGATGACTGGCTCACCAGGGCTTTTCTGACAGTCTCTAGTCTGTGAAGTCACAGATTTTGGGCTGCTGTGCTCCCAGGGCCTGGGTCTGCCAGGAGTCTGGGAGCACTGTTCAGAATAGCTGGGTACTGCCCCAGGGTACTTGAAGCCTCTGCTGGCACCAAATGCTTTCTTGATCCTCTCAGACAGAAGGAACAGGAAAAACAACTGTGGCTTTTCCCCCTTATTTTTTTCCTCTCACTACACTTAGTTAAAGTTTCTATCAGATGCAGGACTGGAGGGAATGGCTGACCTTTTCCTCCAGCTGTCAGGAACCAGTGCAGCAGAGAAGGGACCTTCAGGAGGGAGAATGTGGCTCTTGGTGGCACCCGAATGAAGGGTATGTGTCACACAGGAGGTGTGTTTTGTGTTCCATGGTGCAGATGAGCTTGAACAGTAGTTAAATCTGGTGATGAAGATGAGTTTAGTAAACCTTAAATGGACCAGGAGAAAAGGGACTTGGCCACGTCTCCTTTATTGATCATGAGGCCTGCAGAGGGGAATAAATAATTCCTTTATGTTTTAAATTAAATAGATCTTTATTATGAATCCTCCCATGGATTCTTTCTCCTCCCATATTTTTCTTGTTTCTTTATATGTATGTTTTTTAGTAGCCATGGTTCCTCTTATATTAAAAGAAATATTTTTGTTCTGGTGCTCATGTTTACTGGTAGCATGTAAGAGTGTATGTGGACGTGTAAAAGCTTGTGGGAGTGTGTAAGATTTGGCATCTTCTTCCTCTTCCTTTACCTAATTTTAATGATTCCTTTTTATTTTCATCTGCTTCCCTTTTCTCACTCTTCCCTCCTGTTGAATCAAGGAGGCTTTTCATTGAAAAGAACTTGATGAATTTTGCAAAATAATGAACCAATGAGTGGAAATGGGAGCTGGTGAGTCTTTTTTAGATGAAGGAAAGTTATTGGAAGCCACATGATTTCTTCAAAGGCGTGGGGTAACCATAGTAGCAGCTAGGTAGAGGGAATCCTGGTTTTTCTTTTGGAATATAGCCACGGACTATTCTTTATCTGTTTTAAAAACATCCTGTTCTCTCCTGCACTTGCCCTCCCCCAGCACAGGCTGAGTAAGCTTTGCATCTCCAAGGTAAGGCAGGTGAGGTGCTGGGTTTTCTGTCTCTCCCTTGATGCTCCTTCCCCTTTAATTTACTCTGTCTGTTCCTTGTTTACTCAGGGGCTTTGTTCATTACCTCCTCAAGCCTATCAGAGAAAAGCTTCAGTTGTTTGACAATTACTGACATAAAGAGAGAGAAATGCCCACTAAAATCCCTCCTAGAACAGTTTTCCTCTGCACAGTCTCAAAAGTACAAAGGAAAAAAGGAGTGTGCTCCCACTTAACCTTTGGAACCTGGTGCCTTCTGTTTGGAAGGATGACCTTAGGAGGAGGAGAAGCACCACATTTGTCTCTATACCCTAAGACACTATTTGTATAAATGACCTTTTTTCTCCTGTATTAATGCTTACTCTCCTGAATGGACACATTGTGTTCTCTGGGCAATAATAGGCAGAAAGGATCAGGGATAGGGAGAAAAGCTAATGGCTGGTCTAAGGAGTCAGTTTATGATGCAGAACTGCATCCTTAAGGACTAAATCTTGAGGTGATGTCACACAAAGCTGTACAACTGCAGACATCTCTCCTTCTCTTTATTGCTTCTCTGTGGTCAGAGGGTTGAAGGAGAAGTTTAGTTCTAAATTGATGCCATGCACTCTGCAAACACACTCCAAATGCTCTCTCCAGACTGGTTAATCTATGATGTGTTTGTTTCTCTAAGGACAGAGCAGAGATGTGAGAAGGCTGGGAAAGGAGTAGTTTTGAATTAATGGAATTTCTCTCTAGGAGAGAGGTGCTACAGGAGTCGTGTGCTGCTCTTTGACAGATGTTCTCTGAGTCTGTCCCTGTGTTTTCTCCAGAAGTTCTTCACCTAAATTGTTACCACCTTGCCAAAATTACTTGGGTAGGGATATGTGGAAGGCAAGGCATACTTGGAAAAAAAGAGCATTTTGTAACTTGTGAAAGACTCAACCCTCACATACGCTGGCTGTGCTCTGAGATGCACATTGGGAGGTGGCAAGAGCATGTGCACTGGTGCTTTCCTTAAAACCTCAGAGATGACAAAGATGTGAGTTCTGGGAACATCTGTACTGGGATACTTGGTGGCTCTGGGACGTGCACATGAAGTGTGGGCTAATTTTCCTCAAGTACAGCAGAAATTTTTACAGCTCTTTGCTGCTTTGGTGCCTCAGGTGTTGCTTCTGTTGCCTTTCACTGAGAGGGCAGTGATGGATTTGAGAGCTTAGGGTACCAAATGTGGCTAGTGCCTGCACAGCATGAGATAAAATATGAGCTGCAGTATTTCTTAGCTCTCATTTCTGTGAATTGTTCCTTGGTGGAACAACCAGAAATGGTGTCTGGCCCTGCACCACACACTTCTGAGTTTTCGCTCTGCTGTGGGAGGTGCCCCAGTTTCATCCAAGGCCCTTTGTGCTGTGCTGATGTGACAGCCCATCCTTGGCTCTCCTTCTGTGATAAACATCCCCCTGCAGACAGCTGCACCCCAGGACTCTCCCTTCTGACAGCCCTTCCAGTGCAGGATTGTTTATTCCTTCCTTTATCAGCCAGGGCTGCTGGGCCCCCTGAGTTATTAGCTCTATTCACTCATTGTCAGTGTTTCCTCCTTCGTAAATATGCCCCCATATGTCTCTGCTCCCAAGGAATATGCTTTCTTTTCTATTTACTGCTTTTCCCAGGCCCCCACCTCCTCATTGCTCTCTCCACCCAACGGCCCAATAACAGCCAAGGAGATAAATAAGCTCCATAACTCTTCCCATGTATTATTTTTTGTTGTTGTTGTTGTTGTTGCCCTGCATGGTAATATATATAATAACAAGGAAACAAATCTTATTACTAAAGTAATTACAATAAATAAAAAGCTGAGAGGGGAGATGAAGGAAGGGTCTGTCAGGGGAGTGATTGCAGAAGGATTTTTTAAAATTTAATTTACTTGAGATGTTCTCTGCCACTTTGCTGATACCCTGCTGAGGGGGGCTGTGACTAATTAGCAGCCAGCTGTTGTTTTAACACCCTCACCTAATTTATAGTGTGCCTGAGCCTCTAAAACAGGAGCCTGTGTTGATATCGTTGTTTGTGGGACTCAGCACCAGCCTTGTATCAGGAGTTGGTTTTATTGCTTGGTGGTTTTGTTTCTCAGAAGCTCTATAGCTAAAATTTTGGGTGCTTTGCTACAATTCCTTTTATCTTCAGCATATCCCATGTGCTTTCAGGAGTTTGACCCAGAGAGTGAACACAATTTGTTGCTTATAACTGCTTGTCTCAGTGTCCAGCCTAATAACTGAGCATCACAACTGCTGCCTTTTGACTAAAAGGTGTGATGTGGACAGGATCTAGGGTTTGTTTAAATTCTGGGGCCTCATTCTCCTGTTGGCAGGTTTCTCATGGAAGTACCATATTGTTCTTGCTAATAGAATGGAGATTGCAATATCATCTGTCTTCTAAATGGTCGTGAAATCTAATTAGTTAATGGCCATATTAAAAACTAGAAGGATCCAAGGCATTGTTCCATGTTTCATCAGTCTCCCAGCTGCCAATTGCCAAAGCACTTGCAGTCCTTGTAAGCTCTTACACAGTGAAGGTGCCCAATGAGTTGTGTGTGTGTCCCTGTGCTCTTCCCTGTACAATTTATGCTGGTCATGCAAGGTCACTTGGAAATTTTACTACAAAAATCACTAGGTGTGGGCTCAGAGGTGTTACTGCCTTGGACTACTAAACACTTCAGCTTCTAGCCTTGGGAACTATTTTATTTTGGATGGGTTCTGCCTTGCATTTTCAAGTTAGCA